TTAACCAACTGAGCCACCCAGGCGCCCGCTTCCAGTTTTTTGACACTTGTGTAACTACAGCAATTTTGTGCTTGTGTAGTCACAACAGAGCTTGGGGAAGATGCACCTCTAGAGAAATGAATTTCGGTGGAACTGAAGTGAGTGCATAAAGAGCCATGACAGATGGATGACACCCCAGAGCAGTGGCCCGATGTGGGACTCCATCCCAGGACTCTGGGACCATGACCTGAGCCGAAGGCAGTTGCTTAACCAACTGAGCCACCCAGGCGCCCTCCCCGTGTGATTTTTTTCTCCTTCTCGCCACACCTGCAATGATCTGTCCTCTGTTTACGTGTTTTTTTTTTTTTAAAGATTTTTTATTTATTTATTTGAGACAGAATGAGAGAGAGAGAGAGCACATGAGAGGGGGGAGGGTCAGAGGGAGAAGCAGGCTCCCCGCTGAGCCGGGAGCCTGATGCGGGACTCGATCCAGGGACTCCAGGATCATGACCTGAGCCGAAGGCAGTCGCTTAACCAACTGAGCCACCCAGGCGCCCCTGTTTACGTGTGTTTTATCCCTGCCCATAAACATAGCGGCTTCACCTGCCCTGTCCCGGAGCCCAGTTAAGTGTTTTGCAGAATGATTGAGAGACTAGTTGTATATTCAGCAGAACTTCCCATTGGGGTTTGGATGCAATATCCATGACCTCCATGGGGGCTGGGACCTTCCCTGTAGGTCAGAGAGTCTGCGGGCTTTAGAAAAGAAAAAGACAGGGGTGCCTGGGTGGCTCAATCGGTTAAGCGTCTGCCTTCGGCTCAGATCATGATCCCAGGGTCCTGGGATCGAGCCCCTGCATCGGGCTCCCTGCTCAATGGGGAGTCTGCTTCTCCCCCTCTCTCTCCCCCTCCCCCTGTTTGTGCTCTCTTGTCTCTCTCCCTCTCTCAAATAAATAAATAAAATCTTTAAAAAAAAGGAAAAAGACACATTTGTGGTAAGGTGGGATTTTTATTATCCTCTGAAGTCCCTCTGTAGGGGGAAGAGCAAGGTGACATCTTAGGCTTATCTCAAAGAAGGACCTTTTGATTTTGCTGGTTACAGATCCCAGGAAGCTTCCCGTTCATTCACTGCCACCCCCAAGATGTAAAGGAAGAAGAGTGGAGGTTTTGGAGGCATCTGCACGCTGGTTAGAGCTGGGCTTGGGGCCTCTGTCTCTTACTGGCTATTTGACCTTCGGCAAGTTATCCAAATTTGCCGAGTCTCAGTTTTTCACTCCGTAAAATGGGGATAACAATAGTTGTTACTGTTTAGTGTTGTTACAAGGATTATATAAATTGTGTAAAGCCCCGGGGGGGCATTGCCTGGTACTTCACAAGCACCGTGTAAGTGAAAGCTCTTGTTCTCCTCTGAGTCACAGCGTCTTTGTGACATTCATGACCGGTAGTACCTCTTACTGTTTTTCAACCAGTAAGACTTAGACTCTCAATGCCTAGAACTGCCACTTCTTTCTGACAGTTCCAAATTATGTAAGCCAGCTTGTCCCTGTCTAATTCAGTCACTCGCTCACCACCCTGTCGTGATTTGCTCATATTTGTGTGGCAGCCGTACTTTTATTTATTTACTCCTTATGGCTTTAAAGATGAAAGTGTATCCTGTCACCATGAGTGGAAAATCAGCCTCACTTCCATTAATATGAGGCAACAGGAAAAAAAAAAAAGATATCCAGATGGAAAAATACATTTATTAAATTGCCTGTCAATAGTGTCGCCTTTCCAAATCTGGGACTGCGGTTAGCATGTGGTAGAGAAATGTAAAGACGTGTTAGCTCCAGAAACCTTCTCCCGGACGCAAAGTGAAGGCGAATTGGAGACAGGCTAATGATGTTCTTGCGGTGTGATTCGGCACCGTTTCTTGCATCCCTCCTTGCTTCCCCTCTGCACTCCAAGGGGCCCCAGGTCTAACTTTTCCATCTCAGAGAGGAATCCAGTGCCCTACCAGGGCCGCGAGACTGAAGACAAGAAAAATTGGGGAAACGTGCGTAGACATTCCAGAACAATCAACGAGACCGGTGGTTCTCACACCTGAGCACGTATCAGACTCGGGTAGAGGGCTTGTTAAAACAGTTTACTGCATTTCAGCTGAGTCTCAGCTTCGTCAGATCTGGGGTGGGGGGGCCCAGAAGACGCATTCCTGAAAAGTTCCGAGCCCACTAGTGCTGATGCTGCCGGTCCTGGGACTGCACTTTGAGAACCACTGAGCGAGACTAATGGGGGGAGTCAAAGTTGAGTCTATGACTGGACATTCAAATCATTGTTAGAGAGAACTATCAAATCCCTGGAGGGCAAGAAGATTGAGGGCAAATCTAAAGCCCCCACCTCTCGGTATAGAGTTTTTTAATATGAAACCTCTAAGCAGGCTATGGGTGCCTTCTGGCAAGAATGTCAGCTGTTGGAAGTGATGCTGGCTTGCACAAAAATGATAAGGGAACCCAAAGGGATGCGCACAGGGCACCAATAGCATCTGCCACAGTGTGTATTCTTCCGACTGACATAAACTCTAAAGGAAAAAGACAAAGCCGGGTCACAATTAGTTGGGTTTTTTTTTTTTTAATCCTTTGGAAGCCTGGCAACTCTTTGGGGAAGAGCAAGGTGACATTGTCTCAAAGGAGAACATTTTGACTGTAAACTCTTCATACCTCTAAAACTGAATACCCGTCACCAGTCTCATCCTAAATGGAAGCCTTGCTTAGCTGTCTCCTGTTGCTTAAGCCTTTAAGAAAAATGAGAGGCCGCCTTTGGCACCACCGATCCAAGTTTTCTGCCAGGAAAGCTCAGTTAATTTGTTTTTCTATCTGTAAAATGGGAATGATAATAATATCCGTTGTGTAAGGCTGTTATAAATATCCAATAACATAACATTTGTATTATGTTTAGTACAATGGCTGGCAGATGAGTCTACAAGTAAACAGTGGATGGTTATTAGGATTGGGTGATGATGATGATGATGATGATGATGAAGAAGAAGATTAAAAAATACAGACTGTGGCTCAGTCAGTTAAGTGTCCAACTCTTGATTTTGGCTCAGATCATGATCTCAGGGTCATGAGATCAAGCCCTGTGTTGGGCTCAGAACCTGCTTAAGATTCTCTCTCTCTCTCTCTCCCTCTCTCTCTGCCCCTCCCCCATCCCCTCACTCTCGTACACTCTCACTCTCTCTAAAACAAAAAAGAAAAAAATAGAGACTGAAGGGCAAAAATATCTTTCTTTCTTTTTTTTTCAAAAATATCTTTCAAAGCATAAAGTCTAAGTGGACACAGTTGGTGAAGGAGTTGCTACCCAACCTGGACCACCCAGGTCTGGCCTTGGAGAGTGAAATGACAACAGACTTTCTCCAGAGTTAATTTCCTAGGTGTCAAGGAAATACTTTAGCTGCCCCATCTCATCTCATATTTTGGTATCCACAGCTTCCAGAGCTTTCTAAACCACCAGGGCATCCCTTCAATCCATCCATCCATCCATCCATCCCTCCACTCATCCATCCACTCATCCATCCACCCATCCCTCCCCATCCATCCATCCATCCATCCACCCACCCATCTCTCCATCCTTCTCTCTCTTTCTCTCTCAGATTAAAGTGCCACAACAAATGCACCAAAGAAGCCCCTCCCTGTCATCTCCTGATCATCCACCGAGGAGGTAAGTATTTAACACTTGCTGCCCTAGGGGTAGGCTGGGGTGGGGGCTCCTGCAGACCCTTGGAGATAGCTGTCCCATCCAGGCCATTTCTGGGTACCTCTTAATCCCCTGATACTTGCCTATTTTTTTCCCCTCTGACACTCTTCTTCCTGACATCTGTCTCCTTCATCCATCTCCAGTGCCTGTTCTCCCTCTTCCTTGCCCCTCTGCTGGTCTCTCTGATACTTTAGCCCCCAGATTTGTCTCCCCCTTCCTAAGTCTTTTTCTCTCATTCTTGTCTGCTCTCCTAATTTCCACTCTCCTCTCTTTTCCCCCAATCTCATTGCTTTTCCTTCACACTTAGAAAGAGTGCTGGCTTGAGTGTTCCCCATGATGTGCTCTTTAGACTCAATCATTTGGCCCTGCAGAGGTGGGTGTGGGGAGGGGTCGGGCTTGGGTTTCTGGGTATGGGCCATCTGTGTTCTGTCCCCTGGGGCCCTGGGAGTGTCTGGGCCAAACTGTCCAAGCCAGCTACTCTTGGGAGAGCCACTGCCAGCCTTTTACCTTGGGGAGAAAAAAAAAAAAAAAAAAAAGCAAGACCAATTGAGTGCAAAGGAGAGACTGGAAAGAAAGCCTTTGTCTTGCCTGCCAAGGACTCAATAGGAAGAATCTCCTTGGAAAACCTTGCAGGCTAGCTTTCAAAATAGTTCCCCTGACTCTTGTCTCATGGTGTAGTTATCGCTGACTTCTATTACCTGTTTTGCAATTCATTCACCGGGGGACCCTCTAGGTCTGTGTTCTTCAATACAGCAGTTGCTAACCACATCTGACTATTTAAATTTAGATTAATTTAAATGAAATAAAAGTAAAAATTCAATTACTCTGCCACACCAGCCACATTTCAAGGGCTCAGTAGCCACTGGTGGCTACCGCACTGGATACTGCAGATAACCAACACTTTCCTCATGGCTGAAAGTTCTGTTGGGTATCACTGGTCCCTACCTTTGCTATTCAAAGTGCAGTCCGTGGATTGGCAACAATGGAATCCCCTGGGAGCGGTGGCATTCGACATGCACAGTTTCTGGCCCCACCCTAGACCTACTGAAGCAGAATCTGCATCTTTCACAGCATCTGTGGGCCGTTCCTCTGCCCCTTCAAGTTAAGAAGCAAGTTTCTAGAGTAGAAGTTGCCATCTCAGGTGCCACTAGGGCCAAGCAAGGATCCGAAATGAGAGAAGGTCATATGAAGCTATGCAAAGTGGAGAGGGGGCCCAGGCACTGTCTAGAGAGGACAGCCGCCCCACCAGTGATGGAGGCAATGTGGACCTGCTCTGCATTTTTCTTGCGGTTCAAAGAAAAGTTGTATTAAGATGCTAGCAACTTACTAATTTTAAAATTCTTGCTGGCCAATTCCCTGTCACCCTCCATCTATAGGTTGGATGGAGCCTTGGAGCCAACGTCGCAGTATACAACCTGCTGATCTGGGATAGAGTCCCTCCTGGTCCCTGCTGTGTCCTGCCCAGCTCCCCTGGCCTTAGTCAGTGTAGGCTCTGGGGAATCTGCCCTGTTTTAGAATGAACCCAAGGGAAATGTAAAGAAGGAAGCAATGTGCTGCCAAAATCCTGGGATGTGTTCCAAAGCCCAGGGGTGTTGGTTTTTGATGATCTTTGCACTGCTTACCTCCACGAGGAGAGGAAATTGCAAGTAAAGGAAAAGTCTTAAGCCCTTTAGCCCCTTCCCACCCACATCCTTAATTAAGAACCATCTGTTCCTTGCATAACTGTATACACTCAAGGAGGCTATTTTTAAACCTGAATTCTCACAGCTCTTGAGCCCTTGTCTTGGGTCAGTGTCACTGGAGAAATTCCTCTCCGTAGTGGACTCTGCTGGAGCCCAACTCCCATGTGGAGACCAGAACCAGCCTGCTGTATGGCGACCGGCTTTCGGAGGCTGACATCTGAAGAAGGGCTCCCTCCCCCACCCACCTTCATAGCCATGCCCCCTTTGCTCAAAGCTCAAAGGCAGCAGGTGCCTGTACATTCGAAAGCAATGGATCTTTCCAGAAGTCCGCCAGCTTCTTGCTTCCCCCTCGCCACCTCCCCACCCTTGTTGATAGGAAGTTTAAAATATAGTTGGTTTCCATGGAGATGGAAGCTCAGGCTAAGCAGAGAAATTAAATCCCTGGGTCAGTGCAAAGCTTTAACTTTTCCACCAATGCCCCACACCCTGTGCAATAAAAACAGCTAACAAGGAACTCTGCCAAGCATCAAATTTGAATTTGAGCTTCTCAATTTGCCCCTCCCCATGGTCCCTATAAGTAGTAGTAATAACAGAGGGGTAACCGGAAGAGGAGCTTGGATAGTGTGGTTTGGATCAGGAAGCATTTATTTAGCATTAGCTATGAGCCCAGCTTTTTGTATGCCCTCAGGGATGATATTGAGGAGAGGTCTGGACATACTAAGCCTTCCTTTCTGGGGTCCCGGTGGCCTTGTTTAGGACACATGTGTTTTGACATGCAACAGGCTGCTCAGGCCTGAGAAATCCCACAAGTAGCAAAGGAGGATCCCAACACAAAAGTTAGATGGGGCAGGGACAGATGACCATTCTGAGCTTGTCCGTTGATTGCAGACCATAAGGAATCAGGAACCTCTTGTATTTCAAAGGAGGGTCGAGTCTGAAATGAACCCCAGTGTGAAACAATTATGGTATTGAAAACAACCTGATAGCTTCAGTTTTATTATTAAAATTTCTAATTGACAAGTTATTTATTGACACTATAAAAATTTCAGAAACCAGAGAACACCTGATCTTACTACCATGACAGACAACTATCATTTTTGGAGAATTCCCTCTTGCTCCTCGGGGGCGGGCCTTCGGGGTGGGGTCTGAGCTCTGCTTTCCTGGCCTAGCCGTATAAAACCAAAGTGGTACTTAAATTCCCAAATTGCTGTTTTTACCCCTACGGATCCAGCAAGGTTAGTCCGAACAGAGTCCGTCCCGTGTGACATCAACAACCCTCTACGAAAGCCACCCCGGTATTCGGACCTGCACATCAGCCAGACGCTGCCCAAAACCAACAAAATCAGCAAGGTGAGGCTGGGGTCCTGCTGGGTCGGAGCATGCTGGGGCCCACCGCTGCCAGGGAGGGGTGGGGGCGGGGCTTGCACGGATGGCTCTGAGAACCGTCACCTCCCAGCCCACCTGGGCTCTCCTCCTTCCGTGTGGTTTGTGTCAAGTAAAGCTTGGGGGGCATCCAGCCATCAGTGGAGAGTCAGTGTGCCAGAAATCTGATTTAGAGAGAGAGCACACAGAAGTGAGAATGAATGAGCCTGTCAAGGAGGGGGCAGTAGGGAGCACAGGAGAGCCTGAGCAGGGTCCTTAGTGGTCCAGACCCCTCCTTTTTGCTCTGTGAGATGTTCCACCATCTGCCAGGATTAACTTCGCAGATGGTTCTGGGCTGACACAGCTGTTGAATCAGACCACCAAGAGATGGGGGGGGGGTGTCTATTTCTGAGCTCCTGCTGGAGACTCGGTGGATGGATACATGGGGGTCTGAGGCTCTGAGCCTCAGCCAGTTTGATTGGCTTCTGGCTGCTCCTCACATAGTGGTCACCAGTGAGGCTCTCTGTGCATCTTTCTCTCCACTGTGGTGTGGAAATTTCCAGTGTGATTTCCACATCCTGTGTCTGGCCTGTTGGTTGGACTGCATCAGAACTATCCCAGGGAGACTTGCAGCCTTACAGTAGGAGGCAAAGGCTGCGTCCTGCACATGCCAACACGTGATTTCTCAAGCTCCCCAGTGCTTTTGTGCATTATGTGGAAAGTGCGTAAAGTGTAGATCAACCCAAGCCCATGGGAAGTCACCACCTGTTCAGGACCCAGAGGAGCATCCAGATGGCTGAGTGACCTCTCACTGGCAAGACTCAGTCTCACTTCTCTGCATCAGCTGGAGAGAGCATTGGTCCCTCCCCAACCCACCCTCCACACAGCAGCCAGAGTAATTCCTAATGAACATAATTTGAATCCTGTCCCCTTCTGCTTAAAAACCAACCAGTGGCTTTCTACTGCATTTAGAAAACAAATCAGGCTCCTTACTGCAGACCGCAAGGCCATGTGTAATTTGGCCCCTTGCTCCATCTCTGACCTCCCTTTGCATGCCTCCCCACCAAAGCCCATATGTTCTTTCTCGAGCATGCTATCACCCACCCTTTTTACTACTAGCTCTCAGCCATTCACCATCTGGCTCCTTGTGGCATCATATAAGCAGTTGAGAGCTTGGCCTCTGAAGTCAGGCGAACCTTGCTGTCGACCTCGGCTTCCCCCACTTATTAGCTGTGAGACTCTGGACAAACCACTAATCTTTCTCAGCCTCAGTTTTCCTGTATGTGAAATGGGTGTGTTCCAGTTATCTACCGCTGTACAACAAAGCACCTCAAACTTACTGGTGTACCATAGCCTTTTAATGATGCTCGTGGAGTCTGTGGGTCAGGAATTAGGACAGGGTACAGTAGGGATGGTTGGGCTCTGCTCCATGATGTTCAGGGACTCACCTGGGAAAACCCACACAGCTGGGGGCTGGAATCGTCTAGAACAGAAATTGGCAAACTATGGCTTACAGGCCAAACCAGCCCAGCACCTGCACCCATTTTTGTGAATAGAGTTATATTGGAATGAGCCATACCCATATTGTCTATGGCTGCTTTCACACTACAGTCGGGAATTGAGTGCTTCTAACAGAGACCACGTGTCTCACAAAGCCTAAAATATTTACCATTTGGCCATTTCAAGGAAAAGTTTGCCAACCCCTGATCTAGAGCCTTCTTCACTCACCTGTCTGGTGTCTGGACTGGGGTGCATCACAGGCAGGGTTCAGCGGAGACTCAGTGAGAGCATCTACATGTGGACTCACCTTATGGTTTGAGCTTCCTCATGGTAGCTTCAGGGTAGCGAGTCTCCTACCTGGCAGGTGAGGGCCCAAAGAGCAAGTGTTTTGGCCAACCAGGGATTTTATAAGCTAGCATTATAAAAGGCAGCGCACTGTCTTGATTTGTCACTAGCCAAGGGTTGGTATATATATATATATACACCATACTGATGGAGGCTGTCACGTTCCTGCTCAGATTCAAGGGGAGAGGCTTAGATCCCACCTGTCTGTGGGAGGAGTCCAAGGAATTTGAGGCCATGTTTTAAAGTGTCCATGGTGGGGGCGCCTGGGTGGCTCAGTCAGTTAAGCGTCTGCCTTCAGCTCAGGTCATGATCTCAGGGTCCTGGGTCTGGCTTCCTGCTCAGTGGGGAGTCTCCTTCTCTCTCTCCCTCTCCCTCTGCCCTTCCCCCTGCTCATACTCACTTGCTCTCTCTCAAATAAATAAATCAAATCTTTAAAAAATAAAAAATAATGTGTCCATGGTGGCTAGTAAGAGCACCAACCTCAGAGAGTTGTTTTGGGGATGAAATGAGAAATCAACATAAAAGCATTTAGTATGGTTCCTGGCACCTGGTAAATGCCCAGGAAATTCTAGATACTATTATCAGATTCAATCTTGGGCTTCCAATCCAAATGCCAGGAGGGGTCCACATCTCCTTTCTTATTTACAAACAATACATATAGGTCTCTAGAAGAAGGGATCCCCACCTCTGGGGGTGCTTCGGGGACTCAAATGGTACAGCTCCTGAGAAGTAACTGTGCATGTCTATAACCCATCCTTTTCTTTGTGACATCTTAGGGGGCGGGTTGCTCAAGATCTTCCCCTCTGGCTTTGCAGGCACCATGAGCCTCTCGATCAGATGGGACAGAAACACAGGTCAGATAGATCAGTGGCTGTGACATCGCTCTGCTTGTCTGCCAGCAGGAGAATTTGATAAGAGAAATAAATTAACCTCAATTTAGAAAGCAGCTTTGACTTGAAGGTGGACAGGATCTATCACAGGGCTGGGTTATTTTTTCCTCTCTTTCTCTTCACTGGCTTCACACAGATTCTTTTTGTCAGGCAATGATGTGGTTAGTGCAATAGATTTCTGAGCCAATTTGGTCTGAAGACTTCCTTTTCATTGCTCTGTCTCCTCTCCTGTCTGGCTCAGTCAATCCAGGTTCACAAAAAGCCTAGCTTTTTCTCCCAACAGAAGAGTTAGAGTGTGCATTTTGGAGTCAGAAGGCCTGGGCTTGGAACTTTGTTCCTTCATTGACTGGTCATAGCAAGCTCTCTCTGCCTTAGTTTCCCCCTCCCCCCATCCCTGCAAAAGAGGCAGGATGATTGCAGATGTGATTGGGATCATGGAAAGGATTAGATGCAATGATATGCGTAAAGAATTTAGTCCGACACTGGCTACTCAGGGCCTGGAATGGCTTGATGACCAAGAGGACAGAATGAGGAGGAGGAAGAGGAGCAGAAGGAGGAGGAGGAGGAAGAAAGAGGCAGAGGGAGGAAGAGAGGAAGAAAGGAGGAGATGGCGGAGGAGCCAGAAGAGGAGGAGGAGAAATAGCAGCCTCTGCCAGCTCCTTGGGGGACCAGTCTACAACACTTACGCTTCCACATCAAGGCATCAAAACCCCATCTGCAGTGGTGTCCAAGGTTGCAGATCTGCCTGCTTCCATGCTGCTATTTGAAGCAGCTGCATGCCGGCTTGCCCTTTTTAGCTGGTCTTGCACTTGGACCTACAGCAAGACCATGAATCGTTGTTCTGTTCTTCCATCATGACCTTGACTCAGCTACTCTTTGTGGGTCTGCTCCAGGCTGTTACTGTTGACTGGTTTCCTTGTCCTCTACCTTCCTCTCTCCGTGTCATTGCTTCTGCCACCATATAGTTCCTCCTTCTCACAACCTTGGCTTATTTGTTTTCTGGCCTGTTGTGGCTCTTCTATTCTCTTTGAGCCTCGTCTCCTCTCTGCCTGTGCTGCTAATGTTGTTTGCTATTCTTCCTGTTGGCCAGCTCAACTTTTCATTCCATGTCATAGTCATGGGCCGCTGCCATCTTGTTCTGACCTGTGGTCCTGCACTGGGGGTGGGCTCTGGAGGTCACAAGACAAGTCTGGCTGTTTAGGACTGTCTATTCAGCACCATCTATTGGGTTGGAGGATAGGGACAATTTCCTTAAGAAAAGTCCATGAGAGAGGCAGTTACCATCACCACCATGTCCAGACCAGTGCACAACTGGGTGGAGTGGGAACCTGGGAGATGAGCATGCTTCTGTTTGATTCCCAGAATCAGATGTGAATTTCTTGTGACTTGGCACAATCTTGTGTTTCTGCTGCTGGGCTGGAGGTTAAGACCTGGGCCATCAACTCTCTGTATGACTCCAGCAAGCCTCTCCCTGCTCTCCAAGTCTCAGTGTCCCCATTTACAGAATAAGAAGGGGTTGGACTGGGAGGTCTCTGAAGGATGTTTCTGCATCTTAACTGTGCTCAGAAAGAGGAATTATGCCACTAGCCCTTCCCGGAATGATTTAGTAGAGTTTGGAATGCAACCTCTAGTTGCTGGTCCCATCGGGCTATAGATCTGGGTCTGACCTGAAGAAGGAATTTCCCCTCCTGTTGTAGCAATTCAGCCTGGAATGTGGGCACCATATGCTATGCTCTCTTGGGATGATTCTGTGTATTCACAACAGCCCTGAACTACAAAGATGAGAAAGACCTAATTCCTGCTCTCAAGGAGGTAGAGATAATTCCTTTCTCTATAAACACAATTCTTCTTCCCCTCCCTCCCTTTTTCTCTCCTTCCAGTTCTCCTTCTTTTCCATTAATTCACTCATTCATGTAACACTTACTGCTACCTCTTACATTTTTATTCCTGTGCTAAGTTCTGCAGATTCCAAGAGGAATAAGACACAGTCTAGTAGGAGATAAATCTTCTTCCTCCCTCCCTCTCTCCTCTTCATCCCTCCAACCCTCCCTCCCTTCATTTCTTTCTTGTTTTCCTTCATCTTGGTTTCATCATTTCCTTCATTGTTGGTCCTTCCATCCAGTGGAAGGACCACACTGTGCCTGGCATATTTCTAAGTGCTGAGTATAGGGAGCTCCCAGCCTAGAGGATGAGACAAACAAGTAGGCTGAGAAGTGACCAGGTAGAAGCAACAGCTAAAGCCAAGGGAGTAAT